TGAATTGCAACCCGAGTCATTATAAATTGTTTCCACAATATGAGAAAAATATGAAGGTAATTTTCCTAATTAAGACCACATTTTATTAACTCATTAAACTCTGTCACCTTTATTCACTAAAAATCAAGCAGAAAAGTGGAATCAATTCACCATGACAAAGAAAATGCACACATTTCCATCTTGTAAATAAACTGACTGAAAAAAGGTGAGGTGTGTAAATTAGGGCACTCAATCTAAGAATATAGCACATTCTCAAGTGGATATTCTCCCAGGGCTCTTACTTGAGAGAAGGCAAGCAGCAGATGCAAACCTGTACTTTCTGTATCCATATATACATGATTTAAAAAGCGTAGGACGTCCTTAGCACAGCATATCTAAATACGCAATACAGCAAACATAAAAGGATCCCTTTATGACTAAAATTGTTATTGCCATGTATCACCAACAATATATCAGTAGTCAATCTGTCCGAATTATAGCAGGTTTCAATAACTGCTTCATGATCACAGAATTGCTTCTTAATTTCCCTTCAAACTGTTCAAACTGTTACGGATTATTAAAGGACATTATCAGCTTGAATAAACATATTAGAGTTCTGTATGATGCCCCCCCAATAAACCCAAACATATTTCCTAAAATTACTATAATTGAAATGAATTAGCAAGTTTCTCCACACTACATGTTTGAGTTTACTCAATTTGCTTTTGCAAATATTTAGGACCCAATTCACTATGGACATTTCCAGCTTTATACTGCAATTGTTCCACTGTTCTCAGTGAGTTGACACAAGCGGAAAGATGAAGCAATGCAGCGGGGAATCAGATCTATCTTACAGAGCAAGTTTCTCTTTTACTGAGAAAGCTAGAGCAACTGGAATCAGAAGAAGAAATTTAAATCTTTCACATGAAATACACTTCAAAATATGCTAAAGGAGTGGACAGTTCCCATAGCTTAAAAAAATGTGACAATTTCAGTGTGACTGTTCTTCATAAACTGCAGTCTGAGTGGCCTTTTGAGGCATTTATAGAGAAGCATAAGCCTGCCATGCAGGTCCCTGCACTGTCCTATTCCCATGAATTTGCAATGGTACAAACGAAGCTAAGAACATGTATGTATCTCTTCAGGACTAGGATCTACATTTGCAGTCACGACACTGTGTTGGTGGCGACTTGCTCAGTGTAAAAAACCCTGCAGTCTCGTCTTGTTCACTAGCTTAGAGCACAGAGGAAGGTGTGTCTTAGAGGAGAGGGTGAGGCAGAAGCTGTTGAGCTTTTAATAAAGATGCATCACAAGATACCCTCGGGGGCTAACATAATTCTGTTTAAATTTAGGGAGCAAACAAAACTCTTGTTGACTCCAAGTTGTGGTTATGTTTATGTATAGATTACAGATGTTGGGACAACAAAGCACAGTTGACCTTGGAAGCAGGGAGTTTCCCAGCTAAATCAGTCCATTTTGCTGGATAGCCACTAGGGAGATAAAACTCCTGCAGCTACGATGGATGAGTGGAAGGTATTTAGACTCCTGTTTAAAAGTGGCCGTAAAGCTAACAAAACCGAGGCTGCCTATCTTGTCCCAGATGGAGTTCACACTCATCTCTAAATTCTGTTCTACTCCAGCAGAAGAAAACAAATAATCTTTGTATTACATGAAAAAATACCAGTGAGGAATAGGTCTTTCCTCTTTTGACTCTTGCATTGAGTTGTAAGCATTTAAAAAGGCTTTCCAAAGAAACACAGTCCCAGAGAAACTGATGAGAGCCTTTACCTTTCACTCCACAACTGACATAATGTATTCCCAGTATCCTTCTGATGGTATCTAGCAACTGCATTTAACCCAACAGCATTTGTCCAACAGCACTTCTCCCCTCTTTTTTTTTTTTTTTGAGAAGGATTTTGAGAAGAAAGAACCATTCCCAAAACTTATTTTCTGTGTGATTTTATACTTCCTAGAAAAGTGCATTTCATCTCTTGGGAGGGGAATTCCAGGGGAGCCTACTACAGTGTCAGGAGTACATCCCACCTTATGTTCGTAAGGATGACAACTTTTTCCAAAGATCACATTATTGCTACACTACATTTTACTACTTTACTATGTTTTCTTTGGTCTAATTCTATTACTTTTAATAATAGTAGAAAGTAATGACTGGTCAAAATGTAATCAAGTACATATGTGAATCTTGACTGAAAACCGATATAATTCACTGTGGACCCAGCTCTTCTTGCACATAAAACAGGAGTGGAAAAAAAAAAAAATCCCACAAGTCTTCAGTGGAAGTTTTTCCTGACAAAGAGCCACACAATTAGGCTGTGTTCCATGACTTTTGATATCCTCTGGACTTTTTAAGAAAACATTGCCAAAAATGATCTGCCAGAACAGCATACAATTCATTATGCCCTTGTTTTCTGTAGCTGAAATACAGACTGGACCCATTTTCTTGTTTTCTGAAAGATTGTGGTGTTAGTGTAAGAAGTACCTAAGCTCAAATAAAATACGTCTGGAAATGTTTTTGGCTTAATTTTGGAGTTAACCAATTTTAATGATGAGAAACAAGTTTTGCATTGTTTTAAAACTCTGTGGATTGATACTCTGCTTACATTTCTGCATTGCTATGCAGTGGAAGCAGCAAGCAGACCACGTTTTTGGTATTAGGGTCCACAAGGGAAAGGAAAACTGCTACAGTAATGCCGAGATGGAGACAATTGCATTTTTAAATTGTATGCTGCATGTAACACAAATGACAAAGGTGTCATTCATGCTTATATAAGGAAACATGCAACCAGACCATTCCTGGAGCGAGCACTGGCAGCCGGGAGCTGAGGTGGAAAGCCACAGGTGTATGACAAGCTTGTCTCTTTACAGCAACTCGTGAGTATGGGACCTGCTAAAAATACACCAACTCACTTTGCTCACTCGGAGTTAGGTAGCCACCCTGAGAAGTACTCAGCTGGGATAAATAATACACACAGAATCAATGTCTACACTTCTCCAGTTACTGGGAATGTGAATGGCAAAGAGACAAGAGTCCTCTGCCCTGTCTTCCCATCATTATGGTTTTGCCAGAGAAATTAGCAATTCCTCTTTAATTACTGAAGTTCACCAGTCCTTTGTGACTGAATTAGGACAGCCAGTACAATTCCACATCATGCCTCTGCATTCCTGTTGTTTCCCCTGGAAGCCAGGCCCAGGAGGTAGAAGACTCTTGCAGGTATCAGTGCATCAGGTTTGAAATCCTGGCTCTTGAGGATGTCCAGTGCTGGACTTCCACTGACTGCAATCTAGTTAGTCTTCTCACTCAGTGGATAAACCTGCCTTCTCCTTGGCTTTTTATTTTAAATTTAGCTAATCTATAGGGATGCCTTTTTTTTTTTTTTTTTTAAATAAACTCACAGTATAAAGTTCTGAGCTTAGAACTTTACTCAAAAAAACCCAACATGGAAAAGAGCACATGGATAGTCACCAATATTAATATTTGTGAGAAAATCTGTAAAGCTGAAAGTGAGTCTGGGATAACAGAAACATGAATGAACTAAGGAAAGTGCAGGGGTCTGCAGTATTTTGGACACTTCCCCCATGCAGTTCTCCTAAGGAGAGCTATGATAAGGACAGCTATCATTTTTTAAGGGTTCTTGGTCTTGCACTTGGTCTACACTTAGTTTCTCATGTCCACATGCAGCAGTTTCAAAGGTTTTGATAAAGCAATAAGACGTACAACCATCAAACTAAAACTTGGGAGAGCTTTGCTAAGGACTGAGGTATTGGGGGTGGTGGGGGGTAGTGTGACAACATAAGCAGTCTAAACAATATATCCTGTATTTTTTGTTCAGTTTTAAAACAAACATTTCTGAGTTAAAGCAGAGCATGTCAATACTAGAAAGAAGCTTCTGCATGTGAGCAATCACACCTTTTGGAAAAGGGGCATACTATGAACTATCATATGCTATTGTTATATTAAAACCAAGAGGAGGAATACTGGGCACTTTCAGGGTAACATGAACAAATTCATTCTCACTTTTTTGACTGACAGTTTCCAGCATTAGATAAGAGAAAGAAGAATAAACAAAGTTACTTAAGAGCAAAAATTTGGTCTGGAAAATTCAGAAGTAACTACATTTTCACGTAAGAAAGCCACCTCATGCTTAATTTTTGTATTTCACTAAGACTCTGAACACCTTAAACTGTGCTATTAATTAGTAAGGCAAGAGAGCAGTGCCACAAACCCCTCTGAACATGCCCCTGCTTAGTTGATTCAGATAAAGTCTTTTGAAGTATTTGGAAGGAATTTTAGTACTCATTTCTAAATGCAATATATTAATAGGCTTTTTCCTTACATTTCAGAGATCATTTATCATGTTTAATGGAGAAGCATACTACACGATACTCCAGTATGCACGTAAGTTACAATTGATGTGAGCAGTCAACTGAAGCTAACGGAGTGAGTTTTTGAAAGGGTTTGGCCCTTATGATGCATTACAGTTTCCAATTTTAAAAACTAGACTATTAAAGTCTATCAAATGGGTTGTTAAGGTGAATGCATGAAATATAATCAGTATTAGATACCTGGTTCATCTCATTTGGGTGTCTGTTGGATGGATGGACAGTAAATGCATATGGATGTAACCTTGGTAGCATCTAGCTATTGAAAAGAAAAATACTCAGTCAGGAGGCTCTCATTCTAACTTCTGATCCCCACACAAAGTCCTCTGAAAACACGGCTTGCACTTATATGTGTATGCAGACTCAGTGCAAGGAAAAAATAGAGGGGAAAAAAAAAAAAGGAAAGAAAAAAAGAGAAACAACGTTATATTCCTGTACAATACTTTAAACAGTTTAAGCCAGTGGCCATACCAGTCTAAGAATTCTTGCATTCCACAAAACATCACTTTGTGGAGATAATTTGCAACCATAAGCTACAAATTTTTTTCCTGACGCAGTATTACTAACTTTTAGCAATTTGGGAAGCAGAATGCTTTGTACAATGTCTGGCAGCGTTACCATACCTTCTAGACCAAGGTAGAAAAGTAATCCAAGAAGCAATCAGGTTTCTTGAAGCACAAAATGAAAAGTTTCCTTAGAATCGACCGCTGCAGTGGGAAGTCGTTTCTTCACATGCACAGTTGCTAACTACGGGCATCTTCTTAATAACGACTACAGAGTGAAGTCCCTCTACAGAGAAGGTAACTTTGCAGAGCAGGGCGAAAAAAACCCTCCAGCTGTGACAGGCTGTATCGCAAAGGAGGAAAACTTCTGGTGGCACCGCTATTCAGAAGTCAGCAACTTCTCCGTTCCCCTCAAGCGCACAGGGACTGCTAATTTTACGAGTTCCTAATGGCTTTTACAGCCTCCATGCCTGCCTCCCCTCTGCGAATTTCAGGCGCAAGCCATCTCAACTCGAGCTTTGAATGACCCAAGTGCCGCGGCTGAGTCGAGGAGGCGAAAACAGAGCGGTACGCACCCCCTCCCGCCGCCCCCCTCCCCTCTCGCTCAGCGAACACCCCTTCTCGGCCAGCTCCTTACGGCTACTTAAGGAAGCGCTCCGACACGCCTGGATTACACTCAAAGTGCCGCGCAATGTTTTCAAATGTAAGGAAAAAAAAAAAAAAAAGCAAAAAAATCCCCGGGTGGGACGGGGAGGAGGGGAAGGATGGGACGGGACGTGAGGACCTGCCTGTTGGGCTCCGCAGTCTCCTACTTTACGCTCCCGACAACTTCTCGCCGGCAGCGCCGGCCCCGCCGCGTCCCCTCCTCACCCCCGCCGCTCCCGCCCTCCCCGCCCGC